GACTGGGTGGGCTTGGCCAACTCAAGGTCACTCACGTCGATGGGTGCTTCACCTTAGCTGTTGCAATGTAATAAGGGTTAACCGAAGAGGCAGTTTCTGTAAACAGGGCAATAAAGATTAGGCTAGAAACAACACCAGAATGTTTCCTTCCTGCCTTCCTTACAGGATTAGCTCTGTAAAGTCGAGAAAACCAAAAGGAGATTTCTTCCAACAATCGATTCTCTGAACTACTTAGAAAGTTACCAACCGCTTCTCCCGAATAGGTACAAACTGGCTTAATCTCACCACTGCATTGGGCCATTTTTAATACCTTTAGCTATAAACCACAGTTTATAATGGCTGGATTCATACAACACCATATACTGGCTTAGGTTCATGCTGGGGATCTCACCTGAAGTGCTTTCAGATTGTCCCTTCCTAATAATATCGAAATGATGCTACTTATTCCCTTGTCAAATAAATGTATTGTGATGAGGTCACAGGTAAGAATCATCAGAGGGTTGCAGAGGGAATTCAATATTTTTTGAACCCCCTCTAAAAATCACATGGCAAACAGGATATTTTTCATGCACGCAAAAGTCTTATGGAGAAACAGCCTTGAAAATGCATTTTGGTGAAGTAGATGCCGCTGTTGTGACAGTCTCAGAAGGACTCAAATGCAGAAGGGATGATAAAGACTGTTTTGGAAGATAAATATGGGAGAAACCATCCAGGGAGGACTCAAAGAGAATCAGCCACAATACATGGCTATGTATGCCCGCAACCAAGTAGAATCCATAACTGCCTAACCAAGGTAGCACAAAGGCAGGACATTCCAGACAGAATGAATGCTTTATCAGTGTTCTAATCCTTCAGGATGTCCTTAAGGACCAAATGTTAACAGTCCGATGAATAGAAGACATTTTCCAATGATGAATTGCTTTGGAACGGCTCAACGGCATCTTGACTACTCCAGATGTGTGGTCTTCTATTCCCAGCTGTTTCTCCTTTGTATTTCTTTCAACTGACCATCTTGCCTGCTTTTCCCCCCAACAATCAAGATTAAGGAAGGTACTAATACCACTCTATAAAGGCCTTAGTAAGGCCACACCTAGTGTACTGCATCCAGTTTTGGTCACCACACTGTAAAAAAGAGGTTGAGACTCTAGAAAGAGTGCAGAGAAGAGCAACCAAGATGATTAGAGGACTGGAGGCTAAAACATACAACAAACCATTGCAGGAACTGCGCATGGCTAGTCTAGTGAAGAGAAGGACCAGAGACATGATAGCAGTGTTCCAATATTTAAGGGTCTGCCAGAGAAAGGAGGGGGTCAAGCTATTTTCCAAAGCACCTGCAGGGCAGACAAGGAATAATGGATGGAAACTGGTCAAGGAGAGGTTCAACGTAGAAATAAGGAGAAATTTTCTCACAGTGAGAATGATCAACCAGTGGGAGAAGCTTGCCTTTGTGGGAGCTTCATCACTGGAAGCCTTTAAAGAAGAGACTGGACTGCCATCTGTAAAAAATGGTGTAGGGTCTCCAGCTTAGGTGGAGGGATTGAACAAGATGATCTACAAGGTCGCTTCCAACTCTGTTAATCTGTATCTACCTTCTCTCCCTTAGCTTGTCCCTGGCTGGAACTGATTGGGGATGACACTTTTGTGGGACTGATACACCTGNGTCTGGAAGCCCCTTTTATTGAGACAGGACAAAGGCAGGAGGAGCAATCAGCATGGGATTTAAGACAGCCTGTAAAAGTACAATTTCTAATTTACTGCTCAGGGAAGTTCTGTCTATATATGGTCAAATCCTGGGCGTCATTGGGTAAGGCACATCTAGAGTGAACTATCAGGATGTTATGTTATGAACTATCAGGATGTTATGTCCTTTAGGAGTTTGTTTTTTCCCGTGTGGTTCAGCGTGGCTGCGCATGCCCTGTATGCACTGGGCCATGGGTGACCGCCACATCTACACAAGGAGTTATATGACAACACAGCTCGTCTGCCTGGAATCCACACTGCACATGTCCACGGACATTAATACGATCGAGCGAGTCCAGAGGTATTTCACGAGAAGAGTCCTCCACTCCTCTGCTCACAACAGAATACCCTACAACACCAGGCGTGAAATTTTGGGCTTGGGCAACCTGGAACTATGCCGACTAAAGTCTGACCTAAGTGTAGTTCACAAAATTGTCTGCTACAACGTCCTACCTGTCAACGACTACTTCAGCTTCAACCTCAATAATATGCGGGCAAATAATCGATACAAACTCAAGATCAACCGCTCCAAACTCGATCGAAGAAAATACGACTTCAGCCACAGAGTGGTCAATGCCTGGAATGCTCTACTCGACTCCCTTGTTACGTCCCCAAACCCCCCACAGCTTCAACCTTAAACTGTCTAGCATGGACCTCACCCCATTCCCATGAGATCCGTAAAAGGGTTGTGCGTAAGCACACCAGCGTGCCTTCCGTCCCCTGTCCTACTGTCCCAATTTATTTGTATTCATATCCTTCGTCCATGCCCGTTTATTATATTTATACCTGCTTATCTTGTACATGTTTGACAAACTAATAAATACAAATGCAATTTCCTCACTCCAGGTTAACGGCACCTCACCTCACCTCATCCTCCTTGCCTCCAAAGAATATAGAATAGCAGAAGGGACCTTAGAGGTCATCTAGTTCCACCCCCTGCTCCCCATTTACTTGTGCTCATTTCCTTCGTTCACGCCCATCTTCAGACTTATACCTGCTAGCTTGTACATGTTTGACAAACTAAATAAACAAACAAACAAATAGAATAGAATAAAATAAATAAACAAACAAATAAAATATAAAATAAATAAAATAAAATATAAAATGAATAAAATAAAATATAAAATGAATAAAATAAAATATAAAATGAATAAAATAAAATATAAAATGA